GTAGCACACTCATATTTCATTCAGTTTCTAAGATTACAATATGAAGTTTCCTTCATATTGTAACATATCGATTTTTAGGGTAATTTTTTGATCGTTAATCGAAAACTGAATGAGCAATACTTAGCAAGCGATGATAAAAATTGTCGATTTTATTTTCCGCATTTTTTAATTCTTCCTTTATTCTTCTTTCTAACTTCTTCAAAGAAGTCCTTATTTAGGAGACATGAAAAATACTTCTGCGATACGAGAGATATGAAATTATTATTTTTCCTTCTTCATATATCTGTTCATTAATTTATCTTTTTTATTTTGGTTCTATATATCTATTTTAAATAGCGTATATTTTCACCTCATTTCATACGACAATAATTTGTTTCCCAAATTTTTGTCAAACATTTAATTCATTATACATTTTTTTTTTTTCTAAAATTTTGTCATTTTGCTCAGACGGTTCTTTCAATAGCAGCATGAAAAGATGTAATGAGTTCAAAGAATGATGGCGATTGTTTATAAAACATTTAAAGTTTCTCCTCCTCATAAAGATAGGTGCAACCATTATTAATAGAAAGGTTTCGATGAAAAAATGGAATTTCTTACATTAAAGGATGGAAGTACATTTTCTGCTGTATGGGATGGAAAGTTAATTGGACTACTTTTAATTATCAATTACATACTAATTTTGTTGATCCCTCTATTCTACTGTAACAACATATCTGGTTTAGTTTATTCTTATTTTCTCTCTCATTTCAATGAAATATGAAGATAATGATAGTGAATATTTCAGGTGTTTTTCTCATCTTATTATTTGCTAATTAATAACTGTGTTATTTTTCTTTAAGATTCGTTTGAAATTACTCTTTATAATAAAACTTATATCTCTTAATAACACGCATATATTTATTAATTTATTAAATTGAACATGTTAAGAGCTACAATTTTCATGAGAAAAGGGATTTCTTTCTGAGGCGCAAATAATTCAATAAAAGCAACTAATCGAATATTGAACAAAAAAATACGAGTTTGCTATTTTTAATTTATTTTTTTTATCAGTTCCATTCTAGAGAATTGTTTTTTAAAATAAACAGAGATTTTTTGCATACTATAAAAATTGTCACTGGCAAAATGATTTAAAGTAATTTAATGAAAAAAAAAATTTAATTTATGACTGCTACTGTTATGTTTGTTGGCTATTTTAATATAAAACTTCCAATTCAACCAAGTATAACATTTAGCCCAAACGTGCTAATTTTCATTAATAAATCAAAATAGCTAATTCGAACTGTTTTCTTACATAACGTGGATTTCAACACTCATTTCAATAAGCTGCTTGATGCTTAATGCTTCTAAAGGAAAGATTATTTCTTTTCTCTCTTTTATTGCTACAAAACCCTTTTTTCTCCCTCCCTCTCTCTCTCTCTCTCTTTCTCTCTCTCTCTTGCTTTTTATATCAACACTATTAAATGGAAGCAAACGATAGTAATAATAATAATAACATAAGAATCGGAAATGAATTTGTCTTCCATATGTTATTGCTATTTGGAAGATAAATTCATTTCTAAATTGTTAAATACGATTTAATACTAATAAAAGAAGCAGGTTTCAGCTAAATTAAATATGTCAAATGCCTATATCGCATATTAATTTGCATTTGAATGCTGCGATAAGATAAAAAGAAAAAAAGTGAAAGAAATATCTCATCAGGTTTATTCTGCCTTAAATTATATTATTTAAATTTATAATTTACATATATTTTTATTGCGAACATTTTAGTTCACATTTCAGTTCTTTTAACGATATTTGATATCTTACACTTTTGTGGTAATTGTAAAACGCTGCTCCATACATATTTAGGTAGATAAGTGGTCATTAGAAAGGAGAGAGAGTTATATTATACAGTTACAAGAAATACCTTAGAGCTATTTTGTTTACTGAAAGTATTTTTACTTAACTAACATTTCTGTGATACTCGAAAAAAGAAACGTTTATTTTTAAAAAAATAAAACAAAAAGAAATTACCATCACAGGGAAAATAATGTCATCAAAAGCAAGTACCCACACAAAAATATCCCCAGAAGATACCATTTTTGTACAGCTCCTCAAACAATTTTTCAGGTAAATTTTTTTCAAATAATTTACTCATTAAACTGTAAAAATCAGTAATTACATCGTTCCGTTAATATATATGATCAATCGTACTATGCTTTAACTGAAGTTAATAATGCTAATGATAATTACAGATACAATTATATTATAATTATATTCGGATAGCTCGAGTTATATTATAAATCCATTGTCAAAATGGACACTTTTTATAAAATATCTTAATTTGACAAATAAATTTTTTTCTAAAATTTCAAATTTTTCATAAAGATTTGTTGATCATTGATGACAATTTAATTGATTGTTTTTAGGTTAACTGGCAGAAATGTTGCAGCTAGGCCGAATTTTTTCATTTTCATCTCTTTACTTGTTACCATTCTGAGCTCTTCATCTATCTTTTTAACCAAAATGACCAATGAAGTGACTGATTTTACACCAAAAGATGCAAGGGCCCTCAAAGAATTAAAAGTATGATAAATTTTTTTATTGGCTATTTGTTATTTTTAAAGTATTTTAAAATAAATCTACAAAATTATTATTGAGATCTCTAAAAATGAATTTTTTAAAAATATTTCAATTATCAAAAGTGCTAACGATATTTTAGAAGTTACAAACAAATAAATAACAATATTTGTTCAGGAAGGATTTTATTTATTATTTTCAATAATAAATTTTCTTAGTAATTTTTTAAGTTAAGATTATTTTTTTGTTTTGTTTTTGAACTTTGAGAATGAGTTTACTTGTTTAGGCTTTTCTTCAGCCACGTTTCCTTCCCAATACTAATAAAAGATATCAAGTGAGACCAAAAAATTTGAAGATTGTATGACGTTTTAACAGTATTGAACCGTAATTGCTATTTTAGTTATTTTTTATTTTGCAGATTTATAATGATTTTTTTGGTCGTGAAGGGGATCCAATTGTAATTTTTGTGTTTATAACTGCAAAAGATGGCGGTTCAATGTTAGGCGTACCGCAACTCAATGAAACTGTTCAGGTACGTGCTACAATAATATCATGCGTCATTTATTGAAGTGAACAAATTTGATGAAGAATTTAAAGGTTGGAATTACATTTTCAAGTAAGAAAAATAAAAGCTGATTAACGAGTTCTTTTTTTCTGCAAAAATAATCTATTAGGACATAATAATTCCTGTTTTCAACATGTATGAACTTTTTAGAAAACTTACGTTTGAAAGTTTATTGTCATTCATCTGTTTTAACTTTAGAAAATTGCTCATTACTAGAAAAAAAGTTAAAATTTTAAATGACAAAAGATTAAAGTTAAAAATAAAACAAGGTCTTATGCAGAAAAAAATATTGATTTGCTTTTTAAAGTTACTACTTGGAAGAGAATTATTTTTCAAACTTTTAAATTTGTATTAAATATTATCGTATAAGAATGATATAAGCTTTCTTTTTCAAAGGTATCATTCTCAAATAAATACATATTACTTATATTAATTATTTATGTTAATTTCAGCTACTTGATTCAATAGCCAATGATGTAAAAATAAGGGATGAACAAACGAATAAAACATTGATTTTTTCACAGTTTTGCACCAGTTTCTGTGAAGTAAATGAACCGGTTCGAAATGTTTATGTATGTTTTATTTCTTGTTTTGTTACATAATTATTAGATTTTAATTAATTTCGTGCAACTTTAATTGCAGAATGGTTTGATGATAAATGAGCAATACAATGGAACATCGTTGCAAATCAATCTTGCTTATCCATTAAGTACCATTCTTGGTCAAAGATTTCGCATTGATGATAATTTTTTTGGTGTACAAGCAAGTTTTCTTTTCTTTTATGCTTTTGTAATTTGTTAAAAATACGATTAATCTATTATTGGAACACTCATCATATTTCAAATATTATTGGCTGATTTTAATTATCATTATTACTCATAAAATTATTGGAAAACTCAATCACGTAGATATTTTTTTTATTTCCCATATGAAAGCAACAATAATTGAATATTGCAAGAAATTTTAAAAAATGATGAAACAGTTTTTAAAAGGCAGCAGAAATTTTAAATGATGAAAAATAATTTAAAAGGAAAAATTGTGCAATTAGCATTACTCCATCATAAGTTGATGAACAAACAAAACAACATGAAATATTTTGTCCGTTTGAAATCGTTAATTTTTTTCCAAAAATAGCCATTCCAAATAATCATTAAATGTAATTGACGGATTTATATTTTCTCTGTCAAATACAGGTCGGGAAACAAAATGCTTTATTGGATGCTCAGCTGGTATTATTGCAATTTCGAGCTATACTTCAAGACACTGTTGATTGTAATAGTGCTGAGCTATATGAAATGGCAGTTACAAATTTTATACAAAAGTAGGTTAAAAGTTACAATTGCTTTCATTGAAAATGATATTTTGCAAGCACGAGAATACGTTAAAAATTAATTTACTCTCAAATTTACAAGTGAAATTTTTTCTGAGAGGCTCAGTTAAACTTTCATTATAAGCACTAATTGACATTTATCAGCTCATTTACCATTCGCTTGACCTTGCATGCGTAATATTGTGACCTTTTTCAAAATGGAAGTTCTTTCTTGTGGAAAAGACTTGCTTTGGCATTGTCTAATTATCTGATAATGATGGATTTTATTTTGCAGAGATTTTCTTCTTATACGCTATAAAACTTTTATCAGTAATTTATTGATAATAGAATCGATCATTTAGTGGGCATGTTAGTTGGAGAGAGTATAATTTCGAACTATTTGTTGAAGTAATAGTCCAGAAGTGATTCATTTCATTCAAGTAGTAACAGTGCAATATAATACTGAAAAACTTGTAGATACGTTTTATTAGTGAACATAATATAACAAGAAAAAGATATGGAAGTTTGAGAATAAAAGAGAAAAGCTCAATTCTGATTCTGTTTT